TGGGCGCCGGTGTGGCCTTCGCCCGCAAATACTTGGGAACCAACGAGATCTGCTTGGCCTTGTACGGCGACGGTGCGGCCAACCAGGGCCAGGTGGCGGAAGCTTACAACCTGTCGGCCCTGTGGAAACTACCCTGCGTTTTCATCTGTGAGAATAACCGCTACGGAATGGGGACAGCCACCGAGAGGGCAGCAGCCAGCACCGAGTACCACAAGAGAGGCAACTTCATCCCGGGGCTGAGGGTGAACGGAATGGACATCCTCTGTGTCCGCGAGGCGACCAAGTTCGCGGCTCACTACTGCAGGTCTGGGAAAGGGCCCATTTTGATGGAACTGCAGACCTACCGATATCATGGACACAGTATGAGCGATCCAGGGATCAGTTACCGTTCGCGAGAAGAAGTTCAAAACATGCGAAGCAAGAGCGATCCGATTATGCTGCTCCGAGAGAGAATGATAAACAACAACCTGAGCAATGTGGAGGAATTGAAGGAAATCGACGCGGATGTGAAAAAAGAAGTCGAGGAGGCAGCCCAGTTTGCTACATCTGATCCCGAACCACCTTTGGAAGAGTTAGCCTATCACCTCTTCTACCACAGTCCGCCTTTTGGAGTGCGTGGTACAAATAAGTGGATCACGTATAAGTCCGTCAGTTAGACAGAGATTACTTACAGATTTGTTACAAATTCTTCAGTGGAATATTTATGCCGAACTCTAGGAAACCTCGTCTTTGTTAAGGAGGAATAAATAAAACACCATTAAAGACAAAAGTCTTGTAAATCTTCATAAAGATAGATTAATGGCTTATTAAGGGGATTAGAAGATGCGAATTTGTTTAAAAGGGATGTTCCGTTTTATGTTGTAACATTAAAAGGTACTGTATCGTTAGCAGTATTAATATATTTTAGAATATTTTAAGCTTCCATTCTAAAGTTATAAGTCTAAAATTGGAAAAACTAACTTCCCCAGTTTTATCATAATAGTTGTTTGATTTCATTTTAGTCGTGAAATAAATACTGCTCTTTAAAGAAGTAGACTTTTGATTCTTGCTTCCCATGCCATGAGTTTGTGTAAAGTCATATCGTACTTTGCAACAGCTGATATACATCAACCAATAAGGGACATAGAAGGCTTGCATATGAGATATTAGTGCTGAAGTGTGTTGACACTGATTTTCCAGAAATAAAAACTTATTAGGGCAGGGGCAGGCAAGAAAAGAAGAATATTTTTTGTTTTCATAGCATTTTATTTACAATAGTTGTAGTGTACTAACTAGTAAAAATGTAAACCAAATCTAGGAGAAACTTTTGTTTGTATTAATCATCATGCTAATGTTATACTTGCTTTATAATCATTCATGCCACATTGTGTTCTAGATTTGAGAAATCAGTTAAGGTGATTTTTTTTCACCAAAAAGCAACAAGCACCATTACCTCTCAAAGCTGATTAACTAAAATCAAAGAGATGATATCAATGTACTTAATTCAGTTCTACTTTCCATTTAAAGATAGCCATAAAGCACATACTGCAAATTACTATGTTGTTGACTAGTATTTTCTAACTCATCTATACAGATAAATATTTACTGAAGGAAAACCTGGCAAGTCATAAAGGCTCAGTTATTTATAGTTTACTACCTACTTGGTTACATTTAATCAGCCCTTAAATCCCCTTGAATTTGATGTTTGGTATATGCAACTTTTCTGGGACAGATTTAATTGAAACCAAAAATCAGAATTTCCCTATTGAATGTAGAACCAGTTTCTGGAGCACACAAAAGTCTTTTGCTTTACAGCATCTTCTCTTAAAAATAGAAATATAGGTTTCTTTCCTATGACTGTGATTAAATACTCCTGACAAAAGCACCTTAAAGGGGAAGGGTCCATCTTAGCTCACAGTTCCAGTAACAGTACATGTCAGCAAGGAAGTTGAAATGGCAGGGCTCCAGGGATCTGGTCACTTTGTATTCATAGTCTGAAGCATGCAGAAGGCCTTCTAGTGCTCAGCTTTGTCTTTACTCTTTTAACCGTCCAGTATTCCTTGTTTAGGAAATGGTGCAGCCAACAATGTGTGTGTGATGGTGTCCCATATCAGTTAATGTAATTCCTCACAAGAATGTGCAGAGGACCATCACTCATGATTCTAGATCCTGTTCCATTGATAATGCTAATTTGAGAATCTGCTTTCCATGAACTTTAATGGAAAACCAAAAGTTCAAGGGCTTGTCTATTAATGCAAGGAAACAAACATATAGGTGCAGTCTCTATCCTTCCTCAGATAAGATAACCTCAAAATTGTAAACTTATAAACAGAAATAAATTGTTTATTATTTGCACTTACTTTTACTTTTATTATCTGGAGGAGGGGATGTGCTACAGTATACATGGTCAGAGATTACCTGGAGGAGTTTATTTTATGTGTGTTCTAGAAATTAAATTATTATCTGGAGGAGGGGATGTGCTACAGTATACATGGTCAGAGATTACCTGGAGGAGTTTATTTTGTGTGTGTTCTAGAAATTAGGCTAGGCAGCAAGAACCTGCTGATTCATCTTACTATCCCTAGGTTGTGTTGATAAATGAGTACTAACTCATGTAATTTGGTTAGAATACTGTAGCTATTCAGAGATACAAAAACTAGACCTCTAGAAAAAATATTTTGCATAAAATGTTCCAAATTAATAAATGCAGTTTTCTAATGGTGATGGATTTCATTTTAATATACTAGTATGTCCATGTTTGTAAGCTTTACAAAATTATACAAACAGCATATAAAACCAGTTTTAAAGTTTGTTTCCATAAAGGTCTTTATAGCAGCAAAAAATAAGATACGAGTCCTTGATTGATAAGGAAGCCATAAATAATTAAGATACATAGGTACTGAACTTCAGGTAAATTCAAATTTTACTATGGTAGAAGATTTAAATATTTGTGTCCCATTGTACAATGAAAATCCCATTAGGGCAGGGGTTTCATTATTAGTTGATATTCAGAATTTGTGTCCCTTCAGGGATGATAGTCATATTGTTGCTTGTTATAATTCCACAATTATACATTAAACAAATTCCACCTTAACTGACCTGGTCAAGTTTTATCCCTTAACTAATAGTAGCAATAACGTTAGGCTTTAAAACCAGGGATGTGCAGAAATCTAGCTGTTGGGTTCTATTTCCTGTCTAAACTACTATTTGCTCAGTTTTATCTACTTATTAAAAGGCATAATGTCCCAGGTTAGGAATAATAATAGCTTCATTCCTGTAACATGAACAAAAATTGAGAAAGGACTTTAACCTGTAGGATTCTCTAGGAAGGTGGACTGTATGTACAAAAGACTTATGGTGTATAACAGGACCACTAATGTGAGAACTTACTGAGCTTAAGTGAATATCTGCTTGCTTAGTGTACAAATGATTAGCCACATTATCAGTAAAACTTAAAGGTAATTTGTGTGAGTTAGTCTTTAAATACTGATGCATAATTTGCATATCATAAATTGACCCTTCTAAGAATATACAATGTAGCATTAGTGTACCTATGTCATTATACAATCAACAACACTTATTCCAGGAAATATTAATCACTCAAAAGTGAATATCCATTTTTAATCACTCCAATTTTCCCAGAAAACAATCTGCTTTCTGGTTCCTGATATTTCTGTTCTGGACATTCCATTTAAATTGCCCTTTCCAGCATCCTGTATGCCTTCTGCTTTCACTCACCATGATGTTTTCAAGTTTCATTCTTGTATTGGCATGTAACTAAATTAGCTTATTTTCATGTTTGAACAACATTCCATTTTATCTATTAATTTGCAGGATTTATTTCCTGCTTTGGATATTATGAATGATAAAGTATGTGTTTAAGTAAATAGTTCACACCTTTCTTTTAACCAAGGTATGTTCAGATAAACCCACATCATGATAATGAAATTTGAGAATTTCTTATAATGGATGTTGATCATATTCACCTCAATACCTTCTCTTGATTCATCCCAGGTCAACCCTGTCCCTGTATTCTTTTTATTTAGGTACTTAATTCAGTAATGCTTGATTTTATTTGTGTGTGTGTGTATGTGTGTGTGTGTTAGATTTTATGTATCCCAAGATGACCTCATTTTAATTTTAACAATATATCAAAATTTTTATTTTTGGCAGTCCTCTATATTTATACCATTTTATTGATCATATCCACCCACCATTACTTCCTTCCTAATTTCCCTTGTGCCCCACCCACCCATTTGCTTTCCAACTTCATGCCTTAGTTTCATTTTTTGTTATTAATAACTCCTTGAGTATACTTAGTGTGACTCATGCAAACAGGTGTGTGGCCATTTGTTGGAACATCTGCAAACTACTAGCAACCACAGCCTCAAAGGATAGAACAATCCCCTAGCAACTAACAACTGTCAATAGCTCCTCTAGGAGGGGTGGGGCCTCCGAGCCCCTACCCCATCAATGCTGGAATTTTGATTGGCTTAATCTTGTGCAGGTATTGTGCAGTTGCTGTTAGCTGATAAGTGCAATAGTAAGCTGTGTCTATAAGCCAGCATTTCACATCTCTCCTTCCCATCTAAAAACTCATGCATTTCTTCTGTTTCCTCTTGAGCTAAGTTTCCCTGAGCCTTGGATTTTAGTATGTTGAGAAAGTCATATTCCTACAGCTAAGCATTCAAAGGTGTTTGATGTTTGGTACTATGATCAAATATGAGTGTCTTCTTTAACTGGTACTCACTGCAGAAGTTTCTATGTTCCACGTTGAGAGAATCATAAATCTATGGGTGCAAATATAAATCTATAGAATGCAGATTTTTTATGACTTTCATTTTTTTCTAACAATATAAAACATACAGAAACTGAGTATGATCTACAGAGCTTTATATAGCCTGCACCCAATTTTGCCAAGTACTATCTGACATTATTACTATTTAGTAAGAAAAGGGTGAAGTGGGAATGCTTGGTTTGCTCAAAACCCACAAATCTTATGAAAAGACCTCTCAAAGCTTCTAAGAGATAATCTTTGATTCTTTAGACTATTCTGCCTGACATAAATGTTTTTAGAAACTGAAGGCCCCGGTAAATGCTGAGTCAGTACAATATTATTTTTAAGTTAAGATTATTATATGTGTCTGTTTATTTGAATGTATGCCATACTTTGCTGGTGCCTACAGAGGACAGAACAGGCATTGCATTTCTTGGTTTTGAGGCCCACCAGATTTGGAAGCTAGAATTTAAATTTGGTCCTCTGGATGAGTAGCATGTACTCTTAACCACTAAGCCATTTTTTCTAGCTTCTGGTACTTTTTATTTCCCTTGATGAGACAGAGTCTCATGTAGTCCAGTAGAGCCTAGAACTTAATACATAGGCAAAGATGCTTTTGACTTCTTGGATGGACCTCCTTTGACCACAACCAAAGTATTGGGATTATAGGCTATGAGTCAGATCTATTGCCTTAATGCTTCTGAAGGGATCAGCTCGCCATTTCGGCAGCCATGATAGTAACACGTGCTCTATGACCTTGTCTTAGTCACTAGAGGTTAGGTGCCTGCCTCGTGACAAGGAACCAATCAGAAGTTAGCTGGTGGCACTATGCTTTACGACCCTGGGTGTACTTTACGGACAAGCACACAGCAATGACGCAGAGCATAGCAACCACCCTGG